GTTTGTAATTTATCATATATATTTATCACATTGATAAACTTTGTTTTAAAGTTGTATTAGTGGTGAAAGTTGATGGATAAAAGTTGATGGATTAAGGATGCATTGGACTTCTCATTGTGTAGTGCGACTGGTCCTCAATTAAGGCTGAACATCTCATTTAAATGTATGTATTTTATTCATATAATATGTGCTATTAATATTGCACAGGATTCATATTAATTTCAGAAACAAACTGTGTGCCCACATATATTTGGCAGTCGGATGGACCCCCACTCGTTCATCCCTGTCGACACCTGGCACACGAAAAGTGTAATGATAGAAAATGTGGATTTATCAGAACTGTTGATTGCAAAATTCAGAAATAGCATCTCAAAAGCATGTTTTTCTAAAATTGGGACGCCATTTCCATCGTGTTTTTAGCATAAACACAACTTTTGCAGTGAGGCCATGGTTGTTTTATCATTGGAACAGAATCGCATTAGGGTTCTGGATGAAGTGGGATTCAGTGGTGGCAGCAAATCCATGATGTGGAGTGTGCATGCACTAACGCGTCTTATTTGTAGAGAATCTTAATCTGCGCTGGCCTTATACCCAATAATCAAGCCATGCTAATTGAAACAGCCTTGTGCAGACGTGATACCCTTGGGTGTAGCATCATGCTTGCGTGATATGATCTTTTAGCGTGTTGCTACATTCTGATGCAATCTGAGTGAGTTGTGCTAAGGAGGGTGCGTAGAGTGTTGCGGCATCCCAGGGATGCAGAGACTAGAAGGGGGAAACATGCTTGGAGGCTTTCCAAATTAAACAAACTATTCCTCTTTTGTGTTTGCAGCAGGCCACACATTTGAACACCAGGGATACACACAGTACTTTTTTGTCATTCACTTTACATACTCTAAGCAAAAATGTAATAGTATATTTCTACACCTAGGAAATTAAAAATTCACAAGCCTTGGGGTTTAAAGTAAGTATGAATGAGAGTAGCGCTGACAAAATTGCACATTGAGCCTACAGTGGTGATTAAAGTAGACCACAGAATTGTTCATGGGTGTCACTGATCTGACTTATTTATTTAATACTGTCTTGATGGCAGTTGGATAGTGGTCTCTTGGTGTTTCTATCCACAAAAGCTGTATTAGTTTGTGAGTGTTTGTCTGCACACAGGCTGTTCTGCCAAGTACAGTATGTGTGATGGCAGCTTGAAATTTTGTGCAACTACATTAATCTTGTATGGGTGAGGCACTTTTAATTATAACAAAGAGCCCTGGTTCTCTTCTCTGTTGCTTCTTCCCATCAGCATATCCCCCTCTACTGTGGTTGGCTCGTCATGCTCTGACAGTTTTCATACATTATTTAGGGGCTGACTATTACGAGTCATTTGCTGCCGTTCAGACTCACCTTTCTCTCCCTCAGGAGCAGACTGCATAGTTTCAGTGGCGATGGCTGACCCCAGGAAGACCTCTTCTAGCTGCACTGCTGATTAATTGTTTTGGTTTGCGTGGTGGAGGAAAACGATTGTGGAAAATCTGTGTTTCAGTAGGGTTATGGCCAGAATCTCCATCGGCTTGTTTTATTTTTATGTTTTATTTATAATAAAAGCACTAATCTTATCCTTTGTTTTGCTTTATTTTTAATTAAAGACATGTTTTTTTGAATCTATGAATAAAAAAATAGTAGTCAGGGATGCAATATCTTAAATGGAGGTGAACAAAGCCAAGATATGACTAATAGCTGGCCACTGCAAGGTGACAGCTCTAAACAAATTCTGAAGGTTTAATAAAAAATTGTGGTCAAAAATAAGCATTCTGACTAGATGAGAACAAGATTCACACACAAACATAGAAGCATTATTTGTGACGTGAAGCCACTGCTTAGAAATACCCAAGATGCCTGGCCTGGTTTCTGCCTCTTTGTTATTGCTTTCCTTTTTTCTTTGTCTTGCCATATTATTATAGCTGAGCAGCTATCCCATGTGCCAGTCAACCCTGAAGACCTGTCTTCCTCCTGTATATCGTACCTTCCTGCTGTCTACTTCCTTCAGATAAGATCAGGATGCACCAAAAATGAAAGCTGCATCCCATCTTGAAACTATCTTCAAGCCCTCTCCTATTTTAGAAGATTTGACACTAGCTATAGGCATGATGGTCAGTGTTAGGTGGGTTAATTTGTTGCTTTAAACCTCCAGTTTTGTTTCACTTTATCACACGCAGAAACTGTTGAATTTCTCTTCATTTGAACAGTAATTTTCAGTTGTGTGTTTTTATTTAGACCAGTATGTATTTCCCTATGAGAGCATGGTGTGACAGCATGGTATGCATGTGCAACAGTTGGATGCTTATGTATGTTGGACAGTGCAGTAAAAATTTCAAAGCAGCACTTAAGTGCATTCTCTTGTGAATTTACACAACCGATAAAACATGAATTTCACAGTTTGAGTGGAGAAAATATTACACGAGGACTGGATTTGTGCTGACGGCAACCATTGGGAAGAGGTGAAGCAATGGAGAAGTTGGGAGATTATTGAGACTTAATTTAAATAACTAATGTGTTATCTTAAATGGTAACATTTGGTCAGTGTGGTACACAAACCAAAAATATACAGTGAAACCTTTGTTGAATTTTAAGGGAAAAAACACGTGTGTAAAAGAATGCTATTGTCCTTTTTAAAGTACTTTAATGCATACATTGTTTATTGTGTATGCTGTCGATTTTTATCTCTTTTTGGTAGATTTAAATTATCATGTTGTCCAGTTGCAGCATCCTAGAGGCTAAAACTGTAAACATCTGATCAAGTCCACCTTGTAGTTCTGTTTGTTAGCTCATTTGTGTGCGCCCACACACAAAATGCCACAAAATGTTTTTGTTTTTAATGTAAAGCACTTGACTGTTTTTTGTTTTTATATTACATAAGCTTATACAATGAGAGAGACAGGCCTGTCGCGATAAACAATAAATCAATTAATCGCATAATAAATGAAAATTATCGACGTCATTTTCATTTATCAGCTTTATCGTTTCTTCTTGTCTCTCTCTTTCTACTGAAGACACTGGATGACAAAAGACTCCGGTGCTCTTCACTGACTCCTCCCTTTCTCTTTTCTCTTTGAAATCTGTTTTAACCGTCCAAAATTGTGTTTTTAGATCTTTAAAAGCAGCTAAGCTGAGATACTACGCTATGAGCTAAGCTAACAGACCTCCGTCTTGTTGAAGCTCCAAAATACACAGTTGAAACCTGTGCCTTTGTGTAAAAAGTTGTTTTTCTTTGCAAAAAGAAGCTGAGAACTTGTTTACTGATTTTTTTATTAAAAGCTTTGTGCAAAAAATGCTATGCTAAAGAGTTCAAACCACACCAAGCTTCCGCCATTTTGAGAACCGAAGAGAGACAGCCCATGTCACCATTTCTTAATCAGACACGTTGCTCGCTCCTTCACTATCCATCCTTCGGTTCAAACAGTCTTATACTGCCATCCGGTGGTCAAAAAAGGTACTACACGCTAAGCAAATTAAACATTTCCTCTTTTAAATTTGTCAATAATTACTAATTATAGTCAAATTTCAAACAATATTATCGTTTTTCACAGTAATTTCTGAGACAATCGCCCAGCAAACTATGTTATTGTGACAGGCCTAGACAGAGATGCTGAATAAAGCCTGACAGATGTTACTTTTTTCTTCTTTTAATTATTCAAAATCGGTTTGCTTTGTTGTTAATGGGAACTGATTAAAATATTTTCCCCAAGTAACTGATTTAAGTTTTATTCTGTTATTAACGTTTTCTGCAGCGGCTCTTCTTTCTGACTTTGATGCTTTGATCTGTGTTTCAGTATGTGCTGCATACAAACAGTAAATGAAGCTTGACTGCATCTGACCGTCTTGTTTGCTTGCTGTGACAGTTTCACTGCCCTTTCAGAGAGCAGGCTCTGGTTTGCTCTTTTCCTTTAAACCCAATAGAAACATCTGTTATTAGTGTTATCACTGCACTGCCGTCCCTCTTACCAAATATAAGTTACTCTTCATGAAAGGCCAAAAGCTCAACTCAGCTTGAAAGCTACAGGGTTCACAGTAAATTCTGAGATACTTCAGTTTTTAGCATCCATCCAAACATACATACATACATACTTTCTTTCTTTTTTACTTTCTTACATACTTACATTTTTCCTTACTTTCTTACTTACTTTTTTTAACCCGCTTCTTCCTTTTCAGACCACTGGTGCCCATATCCAGTGTTCCCCTAGTTAGCTTGCCATGGCGGGGTGCTCATCTGATCCATGATTTTTGCTGATGGGGGGACGGAGACATGTCTGAGCGCAGCTTGTACTAACAGTTTTTGAGCGGGTGCGGGGGGTATTCAACATGAGGGAAGAGGCGATGTGAGTGCTGCATTCGGCTTTTTAGCTAGAGAGCCTGTATTTTGCACCGATAGTTTAGTGATATGTCAGTGCCGGGTGGTGGGGGGTGGGTTGCAAGTTCAGTTTGGTAGGCGGGGTGCTCAGTTTTGTTGACGGGGTAAGGCACCCCGCCTGTATAATGGTAGGGGAAACGCTGCATATCCATCCATCACTGTGGGAGGGGCAGAGTGCACCCTGGCCTGGACAGGTCTAAAGTCCATCACAAGGACACATAGAGATAAACGAGACAACCAACTATCCACTCTCTCTCACACACCTAGGAACAATTTAGAGTTACCAATCAACCTAACATGCATGTTTTTGATCTGTGGGTGGAAACTGAAGCACCTGGAGAAAACCCACACATGCACAGAGACACATGCAAACTCCACCCAGAAAAGCCCTCTGTCGGGATTTGAACCAGCGAACTATTCACTGAGGTGGCAGCTCTACCAACTGAGCTACTGTGTCGCCCAGTTTCAGACTCATTTTTGCAATATATATATATATATATATTTGATTTCTTTAAAAGTGGATAGGAGTGATGGATTTTAATTTTATTTCTACATGTTGCCTCCATAATTAATTTAGTTGATTTTCTTTCTTTTACAGATCATTTCAAGCGAAGGGTTTGCCGGCGACCATCTTGGAAACGTGGCATCATACGAAAAAAGAAAGAAAAAAAGACCTACAAAAAAGAAATGGAGGAGGAAGATGAGCGAGAGGCAGAGCCGGAGGTAGAGGTGGAGCCAGAGGCAGAGGTGGAGGCCACAGGACCCAGTGACTCATGTTTGACGCAGGATGAGGAATCATCTTGTGATATTACAGGTCCCCAGCCCAACGGTCATCCTCTTGGTCCCTCCACAGAGGAGGAGAGCTCCAATGAACTCCCAGCTGTGGCTTCTGCTGATCTCCCAAATGCCAGTGAAGCAACAGAGGGACTTAAACCTAAAGAGAAGGAGGGGTCCACAGCCAAAGAGGGAAAGTCTGAGAGCATAGAGCCACACTACCATGATGGCAATTCCCTGCTGAATGCAGATGGGGACGGTCAGGCCAAACAGGCTGGGTTCCAGCCTTTGATTGAAACATTCAAGCCTTTAGATGCTCAGGTCCAGCCTAAACACACACAGGCTCTCCTAGTTTCACAAGTGGGCTGTGTGAATGGAACTGAGTCGATGGATAGTCTGGATTCACACAGTCTCAAGAGCTGTAAGGCTGACACAAGGACTCCTCAGAGCCCCACTGAGGGCTGTAAGAGGCCAGAACAGGACGAGCACAAAGACGAGGATGTCAGTAAACCAACTCAGGCGCAACATCCCCTGGATTGTGAGGCCCTTACAGAAACTGTTGAAAAGGATCAAGACGAAGGTATTAATTATTTTTCACAACATAGTGCTGTTTTATACACCTTTGTATTCAAGACATTTTGAATGTAAAAAAAAAAAAAAGTATAGTTTGCACTGAAGGAGTTAATGACAAGCATACAGTAATACAATTTTTAAAAATCTTATGGGAGTGATCTTGCTCATCTGCTACAGAATTTTGGAGAACTACCTTGGTCTGGGGGACAGGGGTCATCTTCCAATCTGAGCATTTTGGGTTCATTATGATTTATGTTGCAAGTTGTGTAATAGAATATCAAGCTTCTTTATAAAACAAGGAGGTGTCAGTCTGTGCAGCTACAAAAATACTGTTGATCAAAGGTGAATATTATCTGATTAATCAGCAGTCTATTTTTACCAAGGACTGTATGATTCCTGCTAGATTGTGACTCAGAAATTTATAAGTTTTCTCAAACAAATCTTAAAAATTGCACTCGGCATAAAATGTAATGTAATGTAATGTATAGACAGGGGGAAAATATTTTTAGACCTCTTGGATTTTATGACCTACCGGGTATTGAAAACTTGTTTTATGGATGCAGATGTATTTCCTGATAACCACAGACAATGATGTTCCTTGTATCCCTTCATGTTGTGAAAAATATCAGTCTTACTCAATGTCAATGTCAGAGCTGTCGTCTCTCAGCAAGAAGGTTGCCGGATCGAATCCTGGCTGGGGACCTTTTTGGGTGGAGTTTGTATGTTTTCTCTGTGCACATTAGGGGGTGAACGAGTATATAATTTTTAAACTCAACATTAACATAATAAAACCCGAGTAGAACTCGAATATTTGATCACGTCATAGATCTCAAGATACAAAAATAAATAAAACCGCAAAAAAAGGTAATTATTTACAAAAAAAGACCAACAAAACATTGGGAGTGTATATTATGCTCCTACCATTTATCATACTGCAAATAAGTCACAGGAAAAACTAAACTATTAGTTATTATTATTAAACTGCAAACGTGAAGAAACGCAGCACGTCAAAAACGAAACTTAAACCGAAACTGGTTCTGGTTTGGTGGATTGGACCCGGTGTTACACCATACTCTGTGACCTGTAACAGTGCAACACCGCCCCCTATGGTCATACAGTGGTCACATAATATGACGTCACTAAGGATACCCGACATAACATTTTTAACCTTGATAGATGTCCTAGCAATCGATGTGTAGATTACTCGAGTACTCTGTTAATGCCCTAGTGCACATGTGGGTTTTCTCAGAGTACTCGTTTCCTCCCACTGCCCCAAAACATTCATGTTAGGCTAAATGGTAACTCTAAGGGGCCGTTTACACTTTTTTAAAATAAATAGTTCATCCAACATCTCTCTCTTCGACGTCCTCCTGCACTGCATCTGGGCCGAGCCTCGTTCTGGTCCGCCTGGTGGAAGGACAGCTTCTTCTTCTTTCAGGAAAAAATAAAAACTCAGTTGGTTGTTTTGTAATCGAAGCAAACACAAGCAAACACAAGCAAACATTAAGAACATTTGATTTACCTGCAGTAAATCAGCTACCGATTATCACGGAGTAAAGTCCAACATCGTCGACTCTGTTCTGGTCCACTCAGCGACCGGTGTGGAGCTGTTAGATGAAGCGGTCCCGCTTGGCGTCAAATCTGTCGACTCTTATCCGAAATCCAGCCAAAATCCAGCTTTAACTTGTTAAGTTGTTGTTAGCTGAGCTTTTAGCCAGAGGAAAAGAGCATGCCGAGGCAGCACGCATGTGCATTAGGTGAAGGTACAAAATTCACAGCGCCATCTAATGACCCGGCATGGTAACTACAGCAGATTCGGGAAGGCGGGGGGGGGGAATCCTGCGGATGCATGTAAATACAAAATCTGATCGTGTCAACGTGGCTCTTTTCCTCTAATTAACATACGAAAAAACCGTACATTTCCCCCCATCGTGTCCGTGTAAATAGGGCCTAAATTGTCCCTAGGTGTGAGTGAGAGAGTGAATCGTTGTTTGCCTTTATAGCCGCGTTGCCATTGATAAGTGCAACCACTCGGTTCTCGTCTTATTGGTTGCTTTGGTGATTTACCATTGTGACTTTTTTCCTGCTCTGTGGGTGAGATCGTAATTGCCCTATTGTCGGACTTCAAATTTTTTAGCTTATCCTGGCACTGCTTATAAGTCAGGGTGTAGCCATATTGCACCATCATCTCTGATATCTCTTGGTAAATGCTGTCATTTACTGTGGCACCGTCCAGCTCAATCCTTACATTTGCCAGTGAAGTTAGGAAGATCTGTACCTCATCATTGGTCCATGACTCTAGATTTGGAGCTTCCATACTAGAAACTAGCAAAAACAACACACTCAACACGATCTGAGATGGAATGGACGTTCAGAAGTAGTTTGCAGTTTTGCTGGGGCGTCATCCTGTGATGAAGCTCCGCAGGCCAATCCATGGCTGCTGTCTGCTTACGTCAAAATTGTCGCATTGGAGCAATTTGCTTGGAACTATGAACAATGTGGTCCCAAAGTCCATTCCGAGTGGGGGTGGGTTCTGGCAGTGGTGAGGCCCTTAACTGATATAGTGTGGTGCGGAACCGATGAGAGTTGAGACAGTGGCAAAGCGCCATGTGTGTCCCTGTGATGGACTTGGATCCTGTTCAGGATGTACATCGCCTCTCGCACAGTGACTGCTGGACATTGGCACCAGTGAACCCCATGACCTAGAAAGGAAGAAGTGAGTAAAAGATAATGGATGGATGGATGCTAACAAATGACGACAGCCTGTGCACCTTAACTGACGTTTGGTGAAACCCACTGTAAGTCAATGAATACAAAAGTATTACTTAGATATTAGAAAGTTATATCTATTGTTATAGACACCTTGTCATATACTACACTCAAAAAAGATAAACGTTGGGTTTTATCTCCACTTTTCACATTGACATATCATGTGCTACGTTATCCAGTCAAATATTTTAACATGATGCATTTGATTCAGACAAAAATGTTGTTTGTCAAACCATAAGATCACAAGCAAAGGCTGTTGTTGGCTTAAACATTTGTAGTCAAGCCATTAGAAAATGACAAACAGACAACAGAACAAACAAATTGAATCTTTCCCATCACACTTAAGCTTCTTTGTCCTCACTGTCCTCACAAACTGAGTTAGGACATTATTATTTTTTTAATCAAAGCCATTTTGAACACTAATAAATGGATAAAAAATGAGCCTAAAGTGAGGTAATGTTCACTCACTTGCTGCTACAAATAGATTTTCTTCTTCTGTTTTGTATTGTTTTGTAGCCATGGCAGTTTGTGTGCTCTCTTGTCCAGTTTGTACTTTTCACTCTCCTTCTAAGAAAAGCAAAAATGGGCTCTTAAATTGAGCTGGCCTGGTGTTATTAGATTATTTTGGCAGCATGCACACAGCTTAAACATTTCATATCTGTCAGTGGTAATGTTCCCTCCAAATAATAGGTTTTTATCTTGTCATAGACGGTTCCAGCATTAGGACAAGCAAGTGGAGCTTGTCAGAGCAGTTGAAAGGATCTACTGGAAGGACAGAGGAAGAACCACAACCAGAACCTGCCTATCCTCCAGTAGTGGTTGACCACCATCGACTTCTGGTAATTAATTTTTCTAAGTATTTTTGTCACAAGTGGGTACTGAAGTATGTCACCATCTTTAAGCACTGCAGTTTTGGTAACTTATTCTGAAAAGTTTCAAGCAAAAGAAAAGCATGGATGTTTCCATCTGTGTAAAACACAAACATTTCTGTTTCCTCGAAAAATTCTCTTGAGTAGCATGAGTGAGTTTCTCGCATTGGGAACACGCTCGGCGTGACTTCATCAGACGCTCTTATTACATTATGCCAGCTAGGATTGTTTGGAAATAAGCCTATTAGTGTCAGGGAGGGCAGGGTCCCTTCTCTTATTTATAGAGCTATCGCTGCACTTACAAATTTATTCAAAACACCTCTACTTCGCAACATCAGAGCAAGAATGGTAATGTGTTGAGACACTCACTCGTGCTATTTAGAGGACCGGGGTTACAAAAGTAACCTAAAGTTCTCTTTCATAGCATTTGTTTTGTGTCTCACGTTGGGAACAGTACTCTCATATTGCTCAGCAGATCATGTTATGTGCCAGCTGTTTAGAGCATTTATCCTCAGTTTTCATGTGCACTTGATGCTACACAGAGTAGGGCTTCAATAGCTCTGTGATCGGTGTTGCAGTGTTGTAATCCTGAGGTTGTTGGTTCGAGCCCAAATTGCGTCCGTAAGGGCATCTGGCGTAAAACAAATGGTGAAATTGTTCAGGTGAGTTTGCATGATGTGGTGACCCCTGAAGAAGACAGCAGCAGGAAGAAACTGACTTGGTGCTACACAGAGTACTGATTGAGCCTTCGATGATGATGTGACGTCAGGTTTGTAAAACTAAGAAAATGTTTGAGGATAGGTCCAGCTTGCTGTGGCACAAAAGAAATAATACCTCCTTTAGCAGGACCCATGAAGAGCTTAAGCCTCGTAAAATGGGCATGCCGACCCTCTGGAGGCTGTAAAATAATTTTAGCTATAGGCTAAGGCAGTTGCAGCAGGAATCCAGCGGGAAGCACGCTGTTTTGACACTGGCTTCCCAGAATATGTCCTAGCCCAGGAGACAACAGTTGGTCACTTTTCTTAACATTTTTTGTCCTGTCCAGGTAAATGCATAAAATGCGTACCAGGTAGAGTTTGTGTAACCTCTCCTGCTCCTCAGAAGAGAAAGTTGGGGATCAAAACGCCAGAGTATTGGGGCATATGACCCCAATACTTCAGGCTTAAAAGCAGGGTTTGAGAGCAAAGTCACTGTAGTCTTGTCCAAAGAGAACTTTGTGCAAGAAGAGTGTAGTGATAAAAGATGGATTTCAAGTGCCACCAGAAGCGCTGTTTTTAAGAGCTACTAACTTTAATTCTACCTGTTCAAGAGGTCCAAGTGTGAAGCAGTGAGAACATCCAGCACCAGAGGTAGATCCCATGAAGGAGCCATAGGTTTCAGCCTTCTCAATAATTTTTTGAGTAGGAGGCTAATGGCTCAGAGTAGGAGGCTGGAGTCTTCCCAACACCAACATAAATGCATAGATGTTCTGTTCAGCAAAAATGTTGGTGAACGCAGACTGTTTATACACTGGTCACTGATGAAAATGTCTTACCAGCATTGCAGGCATGAAAACTTATGAAGGCATAATCATCCGCAGCTGTACAGTAATTTCACGGTATTTCAGTACAATGATAAAGCTTATTCTGATTCTGTCAATCAATTTTGTAGAACGAGATAATACACATTTTCAAGAATCTAATAAAATGATTTCACAGTGAATTTATCTTTATTCTTCATCTTGCAGCAGTCCCAGCTGAATGCATGCAGCTCAAAAACCTCTTTGTTTTCTGCAACTACAGACAAGATTGTGAAATCTGATCGACATCCAAAGCATCCGATTGTGTACATTTGAATGACAGTTTTTAACCATTTAACTTTGACTATTCATGTTCCTCAGGGAGAAAATCAACCACCTTTTTTCACTGCTCAAAAACATTATTTTTAAATATATTTTTTCCACAATAAACTACCGGTAGTCAGTCTTTTAGGGTCGTCTCAGCCTGAAGTAAAAATATCTAATTTAAATAATTAATTCAATTTTAATGCTTTAAAATTCGTTTGTTTAAAAACTACACTACAGTTTTTTTTTTTTTTTAAATTGACAAAATATTTACTGGTATTTCACAGCAATTTTTCTTTTAAAAGCGTATTTTCCTCCGTTAGTACTCCCTCTGGGTCAACATCCTCATGTTTCCTGATTCTGTTGGTCCAGTCAGAGGGGTTCTGGAGCCCCTCCTCTGCACAGAGTCACTCAGCCCTCTCTTCCCTTTTCTAAAACAAATCATGATCACCCTCTTCCAACATCAAAGTCCTCACTGTCTGACTGGGCTGGGGGGGGGGGGGGGGGGGTTTAACACAAGCAAACAGAGAGGAGAGCAGTGCTGCTGTGCAAAAAATATAAAAACAAAAAATATATAAAAACAATAGCTGTTATTTGGAGATGGTTTGGATTTAAATTGTCAGATGAGCAGCAGAAAATTGTTTTCTGTAGACGATGCTGAAAAGTCAGAACTACGGATCTTGTTCACCATTTAAACCAGCACTATAAGTTATAAGCTGCAGCTCCGACTGTGTTTTCAGACTCCTTTCCTGAAAAAAAACACGGGTCAAAACTCATTTAGCCGTGCTGTGCTTTATGAGAGGAACAGTGTGAGGTGGTGCGACATTAATCAGTCAGCAGCTTATCATATCCAAGACACGGTCGGACACATGCCACAAGACACATGCCACAAGACACATGCCATTTCCTGCATTTTGATGTATTTTAACCGGTTGTTAAACATTTGATTAATTTGAATAAAAACGGGTCTCTAGTAAATGAGTCCTCGAGGCTCAGTGAGACTAACAACTTGTTTAAATAAAGGTTGAATTGAATTTACTATTTTAGAGAGCAGTGAACAAAGCAGCTCCGATTCTGTAAAACGTCTCCCCCCCCCCCCCACACACACACACATGCACTTCAGGTACTTCAATTCTCTGCTGTCCAGCTAAGGACAATCCAACCATCCACTTATTTTAGATAATAAATTAGACTGTCTTTTTGACATTTTGATCGCTGTTATTTTGACAAATTAGTACTGTTGTTTTGAAACGTGATGTAATGTGAAGAATAATACACATCAAACATTTCTCTCGGTTTTTTAATTTTAATTATTTTATTGTAAGCTTTTTTTATTTATTATCTCTGAAATGTATGCAGGAGTTCAGACACATCAGCAGTTGTGCGTGCTGTGTAGAGCTGTCTGGAGACGCTTCTGTGCATAACGTGCACTGTCTGCAGGGCATTTATTTATTCTGTTGAATAAATGATGGTTTCTAGTTTGGGGGTCTGAATGGAGGGGAGGGGGGTGTTTTTCAGTGCGCAGCGCCGCACTGAGTAGGGACATTGTTTGGAGAGGAGGAGGAGAGAATGACTCCGCGCAGCACCTCTGTGCGTAAATCTGACCATCTGTCCCTCCGTCCTCCTCCCCCCACCACCCCGCCTCCTCCAGAGGCTCCTCTCCTGCTCCTTGGAAGGAGTGTGTGGTGCACCGTGTAGTAAAATGTGGGGTACAGCTTTTGCTGTGGACATACAGGCCACTGAATGTAGTAGTATGTCAACGGACAGCTTTGCTGTACCTTCACTACTAAAAATTTAAATATAATGGGTTCTTTCTTTTTCGAGTTAAATTAATGCCATGTGACGAGATAACTGTGTTCATTGTTTAATCAGTGACAGGAGACGTTATTTTGTTTGACCCATCAGAATAAATGCGGTCATTTATTTAACAGAATCAAAATTTAACATCAAAACATGTACACAAGGATTCGCTGATCTGGTTCTGATTAATAAAAACTTGGCACGCTTTACTAATAAGACAACAGGACATTTCTGAAGGCATCTAGAAAGATTACTAGCAAAATAGAAGAGTTTAAAGGAAGGAATTTAGAGGTTTAAAGAAGAGATGGATGGAGGAAGGTGCATGTTGTTGACCAGAATTAGCACGCTTCTTTCAACACCAGCTCAAACCTCTGGTACACTTAGCGCGTGACGACTCGTTACCTTCGCAGAAGATGAATCAGCTCTGGTACCGGGTCCATTTCAACGCTACCTTTCCAGCGTCTCCAGTTAGAGCGGCTGGTCATTGTCAGAAGTCGTGTCGATTTACTCCGTTCAACAAACAGGCTCAGCTCCCTTCGAGGTTGTAGGCGTTACGCCCGTGTGGATTCACAGCAAGGCGCTGTGACTCCGTCAGAGTTTCCACTCAGAAGTGGAAGACTCCAGAAGGCTTGAGAAGACTCCATCAAAGACTGAGTCCGACTGCTCCAAGACTCGAGAAGACTGAGAAGACTGAGAAGACTAGACTAAATAGTTCCAGGAAGTGTGGACTTTTAAAGAGTTCTCACTTCCGGTCACTTAATACTTCCTGATTCATCATCATCAACTTTATTTATAAAGCACTTTAACACAGCCATAGTTGAAACAAAGTGCTGAAACATCAGTTAAAAACTAGATAAAAGACAGATTGGTTGAAACAACCAACAGGGGGTGGTTCTAGTGATGTCAGAGGGTTATTAAAAGTCAAGCGAGGGTTCAAGAATGTTTAGGAACGTTTAGTACAGACAGAGAAATGTTTGGAAGAAGTGAGAGGAACGCAGCTGCCAGTGTTTCTCTTTTTACCGTCTGCTAGGTTTAAAAACAATACAGTCCGTTCTAATAACTTGTTTTCTGACTGTCTCTGACTTTCGACCGACATCACTACTTCTCATTCAGACAGAAGATCAAAATGCACAATTACTTTGTAAATAGACATTTAACTTGGTTCCTAAGACTAATGAGGTTTAAAATCATTAATACTGTTTCACAGTTGATTTAAAATGAGTGGTTCACTTCAACATTAGAAATGATGTGAACTAAACACACTTTTGATTATCAAGATATTGTAAAATAGTAATGATAATATAAAAAGAAGAGTGTTCTTTCAATTGATTACTTCAGGATACAATTA